AGAAGAAAATATCTAAAAATAAAAGTACATTTCCTTCTGCAAAATGTTCTATACACTTCAGATTCAACCCATTCTACAACCACAAACGTTTTATGTATTTTATTGGGATTTATTGGGACAAAACAAGAGAAAAGGCTGGATTATTTTTAAACATCCTCCGTCTATCGCCTATACCTGCAGAGTAAAAGCTCCAGTGGACGAGAGGCAGATTACACTCTGAAAATGTGTTAGAATTAAAAACAGGACGAAAATGCAGCATTTTTATTCTCAGTGAATACTTTGTAAAAGGCAACTTTATCTATTTAGCGCCTTTCCGACACAGACAATTTAAAGTACGAAGAAATTAAAAACAACATAGAAGAAAAACAGATTAAAATGGAAAGTAGACGGTACTTTCTAAAACAAACTTGCTCTGATATTAAAAGTTTAATGCTAAATGTTGATCTAAGGTAATGAGTAGCTCCTCTAGATAAACTGTTAGGAGTTTCTTTCTAAGTTTGTTCTAATTCCTCTTTTGGGTTGAGTGAAACTAAATGTTTCAGCTCTGAGTTGCTGGTTACAAATACATTCTCCACAACTGGAAGGAGTTTCTGTGGTTAAACGGATAGCATCGCTAAGAAATGACACATCTGGAAAAATAGGCACATTTAGCAACATTAATATTTATGATTGAAACGAAATGTTTGTTTTTCCAATGCAAATCAAGTCTATTTCTTTTTTTTACCATGTTTTTAAATTACAAACAGCTCTAAAATGTTAATGCAACACTTGTAGTTAAGAACTTGTTTGATTTCTATGTTTTTCTCTCATTGGAAAGCTTTGAATCTGAACTTAAAGAATCTGTAAATGACTCAAAATGCCCCGTGTCGTAGTTGGTGGTTTTATCATGGCCTCCTTTCACATTTTAACAAGACAATGAGTGAAGAGACTTATGCTTCCAAAGAAATGACTGTAAAAACCAGAAGAGAAAAAGGAAAACTCAACATCGACCTCTAAAGGTGGAACAGAGGGACCCACAAAAAGCTCCTCTACAGAGGTTGGGCCACAAGTTTCCATACATAGAACAAAATCTACATTTTATTTTGGGTAACCGTTTTTATTTTTGTGAGACTCTTGCTGATAAGTTTTGTGACGCTCGTTCCATGTTTTCTGTTAAAGTTTGCTGCAACCATTGCGACTGCTTCAATTAAAACCGTCAGTGTAACTTCATTTCTTTGCTCTTTTTGTCAAACACATCTTCTTGGGTATCTGAAATAGAAAATAAATATTCCTCTTACGTTCTCCTATGTATGCAAACTTATGGCCCACCCTGCATATTAAGACGTTGTGTGTTAAATGCTGAAGAAACGCTGCTGTAATGTGAAAAGATGTAAAGATGTTTTGCGATCTGCTCCAGTTCTGCTCATCTGAGTGCCGCTGCATTCGCAGCAGCCATCAGGAATAACCAACAATGGAAGCAGGAGGATTAAGACAAAGATCTCCTCATTGGCCTGATTTGTTGGACTGAGACTCTCCTGTGTTCAGCCGGTAGAGGAGCCCGCCGAGCCGGTCCCACCGGTGCTATCCCGCTTCCCTGGGACAGCGGAGCCGGTGGGGGGAGGAGAGGACGGGTGCAGGCAGGAGGGTGATTGAGAGCCTCTGCGTGTCTGTGTGTGTGTTTTCACGATACGGAGGAGAAGAGCACTGCAGCAATCGGAGAAAGTAGGTCAGACACCGACTAGTGAGAAAGATCGAAGAGGAGAGGTAGGGAGGAAAGATGGAGTGGAAATGGGAGGAAAGAAGGAAAGAAAACTGCTGGAGAATGAGGATAGAAGGATGTCGAAACAAAATGTTGTGGAGAAAATTTTATATGTCATTGGAGTTGCATGATTTGGCACCGTGGCATTACTTCATGGGACTTTGCACAGCGTAATCTAACAGAACCAACATGGAATTAACAATCTGAAAATAAACATTTTGTTTATCCTGATGCTCCAGGAAGGTTTTAGACAAACACTAACAATAAATCAGACTAAACTGTTCCTGCTTAATCTGATTGCAAAACACCAGAAAGATAAAAAACAATACTTTCCTCAAACTCTGAGATTTAATTACATTTCCTTAATATCCAGTAGAACTGACTTTTGGATTATATGACTTTAGTCAAGCGTAACTGAGTCAGTTTTGTGTGTTTTTTTCCACACACATCGTTTCATGACTCTTTAAGCCAGGAGATCCTTACAGTTATTGTTACATCTGAATTGCCTCTTGCTTTGTGAAGTGCGCCAGTCCCTCCTGCAGCAAACATGAAGCTGCCACCCAGCGATGGGTCCGGCAACACCGGTGCATCCATGAAACCCGGTGTCGGTGTGCGTGTTGCTTTCAGCAAGTCAAGTGACCGATACAGGAAGTGTTTCCAAATGACAATGAGGCACCAAACTGTGTTTATAAGGAAGCGAATCTGTCAACGGGAAGCGTTTGCCAAAATAATTCTTGATCTTTTACGGTTCAGCGTCAATATGGCAAACGAAAGGTTCTGTAGTTTGGGACCGTTTTGATCCATATCAGAAAATAAAGTGTTGGTTCTCACTTCGTTGTTGTTTCATCCGGTTCTTTTCAGTTTCTACTTGATCTGTCTGAATACAAATTCAGCTGAAATTGACTCTGAGTTTACGTTCATATTATGTTCTGCAGGTGAAGTGTTGCATATGTTTGACAGAACTGTCTTATTTAAATAAATCCGCCTCCTCAATGCTGAGGCATCGTAGGGCATCAGAACGAATCCCAGATACACCGAGGATAAACTCAGCCATTCTACAAACGACTCAGTTGCTTTTTTATAAATCATTTCATATAAATATATTGTTTACTTCATTTTTTTATATACAGCAGGAGAAGTTATGTCAAAAAAAGTGTAACAGACTAAATTTAAAAAATTTTAAAAAACACTAGGTCATCATATCAGTCTACCAACTATGTTGCCTGTAGGGATTTTTAATGTCCAGCAGGTGTCAGTATTCAGTGACACAGTATCAATACAGTATCAATAGTTTTGCTATGGCTTCATTGTGTTCTTATGACCAAACTCTTCAGTTTCAGCTTCATCAGTCGTGGCTCAGAAAATGAGTTTATGCACAAACTGCAGTTTGGCTTTTTCATGTTTCGTTTGGAGTAACAACTTTGTACCCTTTCCATTAAGATTATGCAATTTGACACAAGTTGGTTTAATGGAAACATGCCAATTTTGAAAAAGCATAATTTTTTTTTTCTTGTTTTAAAGTTTTGGCACTTGGATGAAGTGAATTTTTTTGGTTGTATCCAAATTAGAAAATTTCACAAAACTGCAATGGAAACACATTTTTTGCGTCAAACCAGTCATGTGACGAATCCACGACAAACTTATAAATGTCTGATTTAATTGCATTTCTTGTTCAACGAAACAAAGCAGTTGCAAAATTGTGGAATATCAACAAAGCTTTGGAAACGCAGCATTTTAGCCCATTTTAGAAAACTTAAATATATTTAACAAATATTAATATTTTTAAAAAATACATATTTAAAATATTTCTATTTAAAAATAATAATATTTTTTAAAATATCTATGTTAACAGGATATAATTTTTTATATATACATGTATATTAAAATTATTTAAATAGAATTTTTGAAAAATGTAATTTTATTTACATTTAAATGTAAATATTTACATTTTATATTTAAATATTTGGGACAGAGGGTAAGGCGTCATTTTATATAAATAATCTGGTTTTAACTGCGTTTCTCAGCTGATCTCCTCAGTAAAAGCTGAGGCTTAGTATTTTAAATCTTCTGCTTTGTCTGTCTGTGTCAGAAAGGCACAAGGGGAAATATGTGTAGGCCTTCATCCAATTTCCAGAAACTAGACAAAACAAAGTGAGACGTTTGAGGGAAAAATAAGTGAAAGTGTTTTGCTCCATTTGTTCGATATAAAGTCTCTTCTTGTAAGTATTTTCCTCTTCATATTACATAAGTGCATGACGGTGAAAATTCATGCAACACACACAAAAATATATATATGGGCTCCATTCAAGTATGAATTACTTCTCTGTTCTGCTCCTCAGGCCAAGCTTGCATTATTTTATTATTTATCTGAAAAAGCACAAAGTATAGAGCGTCTATAAATAAACGGGAAAAGCCTGAACACATGCAAAGACTCGGAGGATAGCAGTTAGGAAAACTGAGATGGGATTTTTAGCTTTTTATCCTGAATTTCCCAAAAGGACATTAGACCTGGACTGATGTGACGTTAAGCAAAAAAGTAGAAATAACAGCTTCACAGTAACTATTCAAATATGACATAATAACTTCTTGCCATAAGTTTATGTATTATTTAAATTTTTAATTAAAGACTTAAGCAATAATGTTAAAACCAGAGTTATCATTATTCCAGATCATTTTAGGAGGTTTGAACATTTTTAAATGTTGGTATTTTGTGTTTCAGTTGTTGGACTGACTCTCAAAAACTTTCTTCATCTTGTTATTTTTGTATCGAATTAAGAAATATGGATATGTACAACAAATTAAAGCAACTATAAATGCACTGGTACTTGTTTATGAAGTGTCTTGTCAGTATATAAAAAATTACAACTTGGTATAATAAAATAACAAAGTAAAAAGATAAAATTATGACAATAAATTTATGATTTTACGGGAATAAAGTTAGAATAACACACAAATGAACTAAAGTCATAAAATGAGAATGAAATCGTAAGAGAATAAAGTCAAAATAATGAGAAAAAGTCAATAATATGACTATTACAGTTCAGCGTAATTTTTTTTGTGTTATAGAATATATATGTTTTATAAGACGAAACATTTCTAGCATAATTTTCTGAAAAGAAAACTATTTTTGGCTCGTTTTATCATCTGATGTTTTGCTCAGGTTCTGTCTGAATAGTTTTTCCTTTCAAGTTTTTCTCAATCTAACTCTCTGACCTTTTCTCCTTCCCTTTGTTGTCTTTCCCAAAACTTCCTGTCCTTCCAGTACGTGGCGTTCATTTCCCTCTTCTTCATCCTCATCTCCATTTCCACTTTCTGCATGGAGACGCACGAGGCCTTCAACACCATCCTAAACAGGACAGAGAACGTCACAGACGGCAACACAACCCACGAGGAGATAGTGTACGAAGTGGTGACCGACAGCTGGTTGACGTACGTCGAAGGCGTCTGCGTCATTTGGTTTACAATTGAGGTCTTGCTGCGGGTCATCTTCTGTCCAGACAAGTTGGAATTCTTCAAAAGTGCCCTCAACATCATCGACTTTGTCGCCATCCTGCCCTTCTACCTGGAGGTGGGCTTGAGCGGTCTGTCCTCCAAAGCTGCCAAGGATGTCCTGGGGTTCCTCCGTGTTGTCCGATTCGTCCGTATCCTCCGAATCTTCAAGCTCACTCGCCACTTTGTGGGTCTCCGCGTCCTCGGCCACACCCTTCGTGCCAGCACCAACGAATTCCTCCTGCTCATCATCTTCTTAGCCCTCGGCGTCCTCATCTTCGCCACTATGATCTACTACGCCGAGCGAATCGGGGCAGACCCAGATGACCCGACGGCCAGCGCCCACACCAACTTCAAGAACATCCCCATTGGGTTTTGGTGGGCCGTGGTGACGATGACCACATTGGGTTACGGTGATATGTACCCGGAGACGTGGTCAGGAATGCTGGTGGGAGCGCTCTGTGCCTTGGCTGGTGTGCTGACCATTGCTATGCCTGTACCTGTCATTGTCAACAACTTCGGCATGTACTACTCTCTGGCTATGGCCAAGCAAAAGCTGCCCAAAAAGAAGAACAAACATATCCCTCGAGCGCCTCAGCCCGGGTCGCCCAACTACTGCAAGCCAGACGCCCTGGCAATGGCCACTGCATCACCGCAAAGGATCTTGGGAAATGTCTTAGGTGGAGTCATGGGGTCTGGAGGAATAGGGGGTGACTGTCCTCTTGCTCAGGAGGAAATCATTGAGATCAACAGAGGTAAGAACTTTTCTTTTACCTGTTACCAATCATTTTAGATTCAGTTTTGGTAAAATAGCAATTTCCCAATAACAGATTGATTCAGGTGTTTTATCACATTAACCTTTCTATACTGAATGTACCATAATTCATGCTAAGCACAAAAACGTCCAACGGTTTCTGAAAGGGGCGACGTTGCGCTTTCCAGCCAATGTCAGGTTATTACGGTAATTTGACTCCCGCCGTAGCAGGGAGAGAAATTAATCTGAAAGGCGAAAATAACTGCAAATAAACAATAAATCAATTAATCACATAATAAATTAAAAGAAACTCAATAATTTTCATTTGCTTGATTCATTGTTTTTACCAAAAACTGAATGATAAAAATCTTCAGTCTGGTGTTTTGGTCTCAACCAGCTCTTATTTTGAAGAACAATTTTGTTTACAAAGACTTCATAATTCATTTTATTTGTTGTTTCTGTTGTTGACATTTTAAATGTCTTCCAGTTTCAGTGTTAAATTAAAATTTAAAGTTTATTGAGCTTTGAGAATGTGTTCTTGCATTATTATAACTTAAAAATGGTGTCAGAACAGCAATATTATCGTTTATCGCAATAAATCCTGAAACAGTTAATCGTCCTGCAAAGTTTATCGTGACAGGCCAACTCACAAGACATTTAAGGAACTGTGTACAATTAAAACAAGCAAAAATGTCCAGGCCGAGATTTGAGACTCTGAGGGTTAATAAATGAAACCGCAAAAAAAAAAAAAAAGTCTGCTGTTTTAGACTTCAGAGATCTTGTGTACAGTTGATTTCAAAGAGCCAGGATCTCCAGAGAACGGAGTGGGAGTGATATCAAGCAGTGATGCGTGGTTGATTCTCGCACCACCCTGGAGAAATCACTGGCCCATCAGAACTGTTGTGTAATTTATGATCAACTTTCGAATCACAGAGGCCTTCAGGCTTCCATCTGCCAGTGATGAACATTCACTTTGGGAAGAAAACAAACTCCATTAACTATTAAAACAGACTAATGCGTCTCGATTTTTGCTGACTTCACAGGATTTTATTTTTTCTTTCTTTCTGCCATTAGCAGTAAAACTGCTTTAGCATCTAGCTACAATAATGCACCTTTAAAGCTTTACTTAGCGGCCAGGAGTGAGCACATCTTGCCAGCATCGCCTGGAGTCAAGACTGAAAGTAGAACCAGTCGATTTTATTGTTGCTCTAAGGAGGAAGTCAGAAACTTTTATTGGGGTTTAGTACTTCTTCTAATCAGTGTTTTGTCTTTTTAATGTGACAATAATGCGGCGTCAACTGGGCTTAAAAACGATAGAGAGGAGCTGCATCCCTACGTCTTTCATCTAAAGCCGTTTATCCTGGCGTTTGTTTGAGTTTGCTCATCTTGGGACAAGTCGCACAGAACAAACAGCCAGACACACACTCACTTATTCCTATGTTCAAGTTAAAGAAACTGTCAATTAACGGTCCTGTGTTTAAATAAGCCGGAGTATTCAGAGAGAACTGATGCATGCACAGGGAGAACATGCAAACTCCAAATTTATCACTTATTGCGATAAATGATAATATTGAGACCATTTTTAAGTAATATCATGGTAATAATGCAGGAGCTGACCAGGTCAGCTTGGCTCCTTCACAAACACTGTGTTGCCTTTTCATTTTTGTCAATTTTTTGCTATAGCAACACTGAGTTACTGAACACTTTTAATCATACTAGCCCAGAATCCACGTGTTTAAGCTTTAATTATGGTTTGGGAAAGTTAAATGAAATGATTCCTGAATCACTTAAAGTAGCATTAAGTCACTTTCTGCTAGTTAACAACATTTAATTAAGTTATATGGTTGTAGACACACAAGATATTTATACATCATATAAAAAGACATCTTTTCCTCACTGACAATCAATCACACGCAACTTTTCCTGTTTCCCCAAATTGTTTGTTTAGCTTAAAGCCAGAATAATGAGACATGAGTTTTAGCGACTCTTCTTTTCTATTTTAAAAATAAGAAACTTACGCAATCAATAATCCAGCTCCACTGGCAGATTACGTCAACTTTTCATGACTATAAAATAATTACTTACTTCAAACCAGATCCTATATCTTGGCAAAAAGTTCCTTGTATGTTAGTTTTGTCTTATTTCAAGTTTACTAAGATGTTTGCCATAGAAACTTGACAAAAATACTTGCCATTTAAATTCTGAGCTATTTTATTCATGATTTTCTGTGTGTTTTCTTTGATTTATTGTAAGAACTTCACTTAAATTTCTTCACTGTTATGCATAGTGCTGTGGAATTAAAAGAACAAATAAAACTAGAGCATGAATCAGTCATAACGGGTTCAGCCGGTCTCCCTATCTGTGACCATCTTGCTGTCATCCTGACGAACAGAAGTCCGTTTATAGCAGTTCATCTCCCCGGCTGTGAATTTTTCCTCCAGATTCCAAGCAGAACGGTGACGCAGCTTCGGCCGCCTTGGCTAACGAGGACTGCCCCACCATCGACCAGGTGCTGAGCCCGGACGAGCGGAGCCCCATCGGGCGGGGCCCCACTCGGGAACGCTACCAGCAGGACCGAGCCTGCTTCCTACTCAACACCAGGGAATTCCGTGCCACAGATGGGAACGTGCGGAAAGGTACGTTTCGCACCAGGAGACGGATATGCGAAGTGCACTCCTCGTGTAAACACGATCGCACAGCGAGACGCCAGGCACAGTAAACACGTCCCCACAGAGAAGCCACATAGAGAGAGCTGTATGTTCACAAGACGTAGATGAAATACACGTGGATGCAGATTCCAGTTCATATGGCTGCATAAACATCTAGCTCTTCTGCTCTGCTGTCTTTGTTTCCACCTCTTCATCGTCACGTTGGTTTTCTTTCCATCACCGCGTCGTATCATCTCTGATTTATTCTGTCTCGTGATATTATTTTGTCATCATGCTTTTCCTTTCGTTTTGAAGGAATTTTTGAACATGGCTTCGGTCATGTCCTCCATCTTTCTATGGCGTCTCTGGATCTTTCCGTCCCACAACGTGTCACGTCCACTCAGACTCAAAAGTGATCTGTCTTTTTCTGTCTTCTGGACTCAGACAGTTGGCCATGCATTAATTTACTTCTCGTCACTTCTGTTTCTCCCTGTCTGTTTCTCTCTCCCTCTCACATCGCCCTTTTTAATTTTATGACTTGGCGCCTCCCCCCCATTTTACCCCATTTCCCTCCCCGACCCCCCATTACCTCCTTCCCTCTGCTTCCTCCCTTGTTCCCTTTCCACCTCACCGTCCCTCCTCTTGTTCCCCCGCCCCCTCGCTCATTATCCTGCCACCGCCATTCATTTAATACTGCAATCTGACCACTGCCACCGTCACCAACCTGCACCAACAAAACACTCCCTCCAAACTTCCGACGCCCCTCTCCCCTCCCTCCCTTCTTGTTGGCAACAAACTACTGTAGAGGCAGCAGCCCTGGCTCCCAGCCCAGACTCCCCTCTGACTGAGGATTGGTATAAGATGGAGGGGTCTCTGTTACAGCAGGACCTCAATGCAAACTCCACCTCCTCCTGGATCAAACCGTAGCTCAGAGGTAACAGTGAAACCAGTAAAAACAGTCACAACTAACCCAGTTCTGGCTCCCCAGGAAAGTAGCGCCCCCTTTTAACACAAATACAGCCGTCATCAAAATTCACACATACACAAATATTTCCACCTTGTTGTGTCACAGATGTTGCAGCTGATTTGTCACTTCTCTGAGGCTGAAAGAGTTTGTCCTTAAGGTTGATGCAGAACAGCTGAGCATAACCTTAGCCCGACATGCTGCTTGGTTCCGTGACGTCGTCTGCAACCATTTCGATAAACAATGTCCACGGTGTAAAAGAAAATGGGGTTTGCAGCACAAATGATCGCAAATGTTTTGTACCTGTGTGCTTGTGAACGTGTGAGTGTCTCTTTAACCTGCATCCTGTCAGGAGTGCAGGATCGCTAAACACATCCAGCTACTCAAGTGAATATAACCCAGTTGTTGTGTCCTGTATTATTAACTAATTTGTAAGAAAAAAAAAAAGAAATGAAGCGGGAACAGCGGGTCACCTTGTTGTCTGATGTGCCTCTGTGTTGTTGTTGTCTCTCTCTTCAGGTTGTGTCATATCACGCGTGTGTATGTGGGCTTTTTCATTCTTACGTGTTTATACACTGTGTCTCTGTCCCCCTGGTGGCGTCCGAGTGTCGTGTTTGTGTTGTTGTGTGTGGCTTTACTTCTTTTTTCCCCTTCTAATGTGTTTATTCATGGTATTCCCAACCCCACAGACCGGCACCTTGGTAAACAACAGCACTTATTACAGTCTAATGCTGCAAACCGCTGCACAGCACTGGTGTGTATTCTGTAGCTCAATATCTTACACCTCCATATCAAAAGATGTGTTTTATGCATGTACAGGACTGTGCAAAGGTTTGAAATCAGCTTTAATTCGTACATCATTTATAAAAAGTTCAGGTTTTTTTGCAGCTTGTGCAGCGCTCACATGTTTTATATCAAGTAGATTTTAGTATAAGACAGCGAAGCTAAAAGTAAAATGCAGATTTTTAAAGAAAAATAGCCATAAACCTAACAGCAGGATGTTGCATGAAGCATTAGCAGTAACAGAGCTGCGTTTTTATTACAAATGTTTGCAAAACTTTTGTCCACTAATATTGCAATTGCAGTGTTTCCATTGAATAATATAATTAAAATAAGTTTATTCACACAATAAATCATAAAAACCCACCATGCCGTCCTCCTCCCACCGCTTCCTGTCCTCTTCTTCATTTTTGTCAGTAGTAACATCCTGTTGTGACGAGAAAAAAAGTGTTTTTCTCATCACACAAGTTTTGATACAGCTGTAAAACTACCTCATTTTACCATGTTTCCATTAAGTTTATTATTTTGTCATAATTTAAATTTGCGCAAATATGTGGTCAGTGGAAACGCAGCCAGTGGAAAATTCTTCATATTTACTTTACACTCAGACTGTTTGTAAAATTCAGAATTTTCATCCCCAGATGGTTGATCTGACGCTCATTCGGCATAAAAATACCAAAAATACAAACAAAAACAAGACGGAAAATATTTCAGATGAACCTGTCAAACCAGCTAAATCAGCAAATAATGAAAACCAGTAAGGAGAAGGACAAACCAAACAGAAAGTTTATTGTTACAGCAGCAAAAGCATCATGCAAATATATAAATAAACTGGTAGAACGGTACAGAAAAAGGTAATCTGTTCTGTCTAAAATTGATCAGATAAGCTTTTATTTTGGTATGCAAAAAGTACTTCACATAACTGATCAGTTCATGCAACATAAAGAAACAAAGAAAGAAAGAAAAAAATACATCCAAACTATTTGGGCTATTTCTGAATTATTATCCCAGGGTAATAAAATCATCTGACAGTTTTCATTGTGTCTTTGGTTAATAAAGGGCCGTTTTCATGTGGTTCCATCTCAACCTTACAGACCGACATGCAGTCAAGAAATAAAATTTCAACCAGATTTTTTTGCACCAGAGAGATTTAAACATGTTTTCACTGAGGCACTTTAAATGTGTATATGATGTGTATAAAATAGACCAGGGTTATTATTGCTTATCACGAGGAAACGCAAAACAACAACAATGGAGATCCGTTACAGACGAATGCATGAATAACTCAGAATTTTGACTTAAAGTTGTAAAATGAGTATTTAGTTGCAGCTCCAGCTGCTCAGAGACTCAAGACTTTTGCACAGTAATCTACATGTTCAACATTTTGTTGGACTTTTTTTCTTTTCCAAGTTCAAAACGTTTATTATTGTGCTGTGAGTCAGTTTTCCAAGGCTTAAGGTTCCTGGGGTCAGTGGAGTCGTCTATGTCAAGGGATAGCATCTCTGGAAACATGGCACGCTGTGAAAGAGCATCGCTGCTGCATTTTTATCAGCGCCTTAAAACGGCAACAACAAAACAAAAAAAAAAGTGCGTTTGTGAATCAGCTGCAGAGATGTCTCCCAAAGCGTGTGATGGATCTGAAATACTGCTCCCTAGACGGTGTGACTGTGCTTTCCGTGCCTGGTGCAGCGCAGACCTTTATGGAAATTAAAAAAGGCGTCCATGCTGCACTCGGCAACTGAAACACTTACTGACCAGACAGACAAAAACGCTATGACAGGTTTGACTAGCAAGTGGCTTCATGCTGTCTAAGGTAAGCAAGCCTTTCAACTGTCCGAGCTTTTAGAGGACGCTAACAACGCTGCCATTGTAAATGGTTCTTCTGTGCAAACTGCAATTTAAGTGACACAAAAATCCCCCTTTAAAGCAAATCAGCAGCGCATTGAGGAAAATAATTACTGGACTCATTAGGACGCCACTTCAAGGCAACCTAATGACAAATTGCACACTTTAATTTGTACCCTTAGGCTGGGGATCTATAATAGTCCTTGTTCCTTAAACTGCTGAAACTTCTTGTGCACTAAGAGAGGAGACGGCACTTGGTGCTTTACAGCTAAAATCAAACTGATCTGATCCCATTCTTGCTTCCCTCCAAATCTGGTGAACCTCTTACAGCTCGTTGTGTTCGACCACAAATGTGTTTTATTTTGTTTTCATCTGATAAACCAACACAATGCAGTTGATGAATGTAAAATCTGTAAAATCTAATTTCACAGCCGAACTCGTTTCTGTCACTTCTTCTCAATCTCAGTCAGATTGGATGGAGAACGTCTGTGGACGTCCAAGTTTTTCCTCTGATTCGCAACTGGATCCTAACCCTGAACTTTGACTAGACCATTCCAGCACATAAATACTTAGTAGTAAGCTACTAGCATGCCCTACCTTTCCTATTTATTCTTTCTTTTCAGTAATGTTTTATTTGAAGGTGCACATAATACTGACATGACTCTGTTGTAAACATGAAGGAGTCTTCATGAATGTTTACGTTGTCGTGAAGGGACATTTGGTAAATACTGACAGTTTTAACCAAAGGTTGCCACTTTTAAAGGACTCTTAATGCAAGTTTCAATTGAATTTTAAATTAAAAATGTATTTTTTTGCAGAATAATTTACCCGCTTAATTGACTTTTAGTGCAGCTTTTAGGTCCATTTTGCATTAAAAGGGTCAATATTTAGTGAATAATGCAAAGTGGATGCTGTTGATGCAAATTTTAGTGTAAATTTGAATGAGAAGAGACATTATTTACCAAATGACTCTTCATAAAGGCTCCTTCATGCTTACGACAGCAAGTCTCACTCACACCCCTTTAGATAAAGTGTTACCTTCTTTCTGCATATCGACTGATTAATTAACCTGAATGTGATTAGTTGCCATGGATTTTATTGAAGTAATGATGACCGAATACTTTTGCACACCAGACCGTCGCACTTTCAGATTATTTCTAAAAGGTTTGTCGTCACTCCTAGAGTACAGCACTACTTTGCGTTGACCGATCAGAGGATTCCTGTTGCTGCTTCAAAGTTTGTGGTTGTAACACGACAAGATGCAAAAGTTACAAAACGGAAAATCGAATTTATGAAAATATTTGCGATGAGTTTGAAGCCTGTTGTTTTTAAAGAGGGATTGTTCTGCTCCTCCTTGCTGTGTGCATCGTTTGTGTTTTATTTGATCTTCCTGAGCGTAAGACGTCTCCCTTTCTCGCCTTCTGTGTGTTTTCTTTCCTAACTGTCGGCCATGTTGGCTTCCTGTGCTCATAGTGCTGAATGCATGGCTCACAAAGAGCAACAGGATCTCAGTCCTGTTGGTTTAAACTCTTTAGTTTCTCTTCTTCTTCCTTCACTTTACAAAAATATACAAGTTTTATTTCATTTATTGTTTTGTGCCTATTTATCATTTTTGTTACCAACTTGGTGTGTACAGTACGGTTTTCATAAAATATGTTTTGGTGATTTGGTTTCTAACGTGAATGCTTGTTTTTATTATGTGATGATATTCGGTTCATATTTTGCCGTTTTCTGTGATTTATTTTTTAGTTTTGGATATATTTCAGTTTTGTGTCTTATCGTTGTGCTTTTACTTCCCTTGTGTTCTTCCTGGAAGTCGGAAGGAAAATACTTCCAACACGACAGTGAAATTAGAGACTAGGAAACGAATAATCTTAACAAAACACAATTTCAGGAGCTTTTACTCTCATAGGCGACGCTTGTTCAAAAACAAACTGCAAAAATTTTTTGTTACCGTTTTTCTTTAAGTTAAATAGAATCTCACGCTTATTAGAAGGATTTCATTAATTTTAGTTGCTCAACTAGAAAACGGAGTTGCAGTAAAACGTGGATCTAAATGACCTGTATCTGGTAGCATGTCAGGCCTCATGGACCCTCTGTGTTTAGCAGCGTCACATTGTCATGCATGCTCTGTTGTCTGATCTGTCTCTTCACACAACACTTGGCAAATATTTTGTCTGAGCCGCATTTAAGAAACAACGCGTCACAATCCATCAACATATGATTAATATTCATACGGTTAAAGCTGAAATGAGACAATGTGGAGTAACTGAGCAGTCAGTATCTTACTTACAGCAACACTAACTTCTCTTGTGTTTGTAGCTCTTGCTCAGGTAACCATTTAATTTGAGATGTAAGCCTGCAGATACCAACTTCAGAATATTTCCTCCACATTCTCATGTTTTCTCTGATTTCCAGGAGGCTGAAAGCTTAAATAATAAAACAGAGCAGCCTTCTTGTTATCTGCTGAAAGTCTCGCTCTCTCAACAAACTTCAGAAATTTTTCACACTGTGGAACAAATTGTTTAATCCTGAATGCTTACTCTAAAATGTAAAAACACTTCATTGATGTTGAAAATAGCTCACTCCGAGTCTTCTTCCCTCAGTGTCCACACCGAAGAGTGTTGATTAAAGCGCGGTGCATTCAGAAAAAGACGGGAGTTTTGAGTTTTCCTCAGCTGGAAAGTGCTTGATTCCAGTCAGGAGCCAATTTTTCTGTGCATTTTTAGTTTTTTCTTCCTTTGACCATCATATATAGTACAACTAACTGACAGATTTTATTTCAAAAATGTTGCAGGGCGTTAATATGAGACCACTTAAAACGATCAGTTTCTCTGGTTTTACTTCTTTATAGATGTAATTTTGAATAAAATGAGCATTGTTCTTTTATTCTTTGAAGCAAAAATTTTGTATTT